GGCAGTTGGCACTGCCACCACAGTCCGCCGCATCAGTCTGGTGGCCATATGGACTACTGACTCCTTCTTATTAATATCACTCACTCACACATGTTCCATTGAGGGGACATGCAAGTGCGATTACGCTGCTACGATTAGCAGTGGATGTGGTCGCGTGCCAATCTCCAATGACTCGCCCGTCTCCTGACCTCATCTTGCCTCCCTGCCTTCATTTGTCGTTGACATTGCTCAGGCTGTCGTAGTGTCTGGCTAGTTGCACTTGCCACACTTGTACTCTGTCTTTCTGTTTTTCATGTTTGTCTGATGTTAGACAATGTCCAGCACACACACACACACACAATTGCACAAATGACGACAATGCGCCAGACGGCTTAGAGGCTGTGAGGCTGACAAGTGGTGACCAGTCCTTTGGCCAGCAGAGAGATCACCGTTGAGCCCTCACTGTGTAACTGGGTGACAAGTGTCGGTGACTTTTCATCCTCTCAGCAGCACCAGCACCAACGACCGTTTGTCTGTGTTTGTGTATTACCGTTTTTTCGCAACCGTTTTATTTGTCTGTTTGTCTGTCTGTCTGAACGTGCCATTGCCTGGTTACTACTGCTCTCCAGAGCACCAGTACTTAGGTAGTAATAATATCAACTGACCGACAGTGTCGGCTCAACAGTAGTGTCGCCGCTTGCCTTCCTCCTCCTCCTCCGCCGCCTTCTTTTCCCTTCCTAATCACTTTATGACATACTCCGAGTCTGCTGGCTGAGCTAGNTTTTTTCGCAACCGTTTTATTTGTCTGTTTGTCTGTCTGTCTGAACGTGCCACTGCCTGGTTACTACTGCTCTCCAGAGCACCAGCACTGGCACTAGTATCTCTCATAGATAGTAATAATATCAACTGACCGACAGTGACGGCTCAACAGTAGTGTCGCCGCTTGCCTTCCTCCTCCTCCTCCGCCGCCTTCTTCTCCCTTCCTAATCACTTTATGACATACTCCGAGTCTGCTGGCTGAGCTAGAATCCGTCTCTCTTTTTCTCTGCTCACTCACTCACTCACTGACTACTGCAGTCATCTGCAACTGCACTGTGCGTCAATTAATCAACTCGCCGCGTTAATTGCCGTTGTCTCGTTTTTGTTGTTTAATCGTCGTCGTCGGCAAATGCTCTAAACGGCACGGACTTTATGCACCAGAAGCTGTTGCTGGTGGTGGTGGTGGTGGTGCTGTTCTTTTGTCCACTGCCGACGCTCGTTCCGAGGCGAGGAATGTGCAAACAAATGAAGTGGGAGAGAGAGAGTTGATGCTCAATAAAAAGTGGATCAGCTGGCACTGCTGTTGATGTTGATGGACAACGTCNGTGCTGTTCTTTTGTCCACTGCCGACGCTCGTTCCGAAGCGAGGAATGTGCAAACAAATGAAGTGGGAGAGAGTTGATGCTCAATAAAAAGTGGATCAGCTGGCACTGCTGTTGATGTTGATGGACAACGTCTTTAACGTTCAGAGCAAAGTGTCTGTGTCTTCACGAGTGGTGCTGCACTCGAATTACCATCACTGAAGGAGCAGCAGCAGCTTCACTTTGCTGTACTTTTTGTTTTGCAGCACACTGCCCTCTGATCTCTTCCATCCTATCCTATCTATCATATCGACAGCATCTGCTCAGACCGACAGACAGATCACGGCTGTGGCCCAATTTTCGACTGCCACCGGAGCTGAGCTGAGCTGTGCCAACAGTGTTATCGAACGTCGCCGTTGCCGATAAGCGACCACTGTTTGCCGGCCAATCGAGATTGCTGATCTCACTCATCTCACTCACTTGCTCAGTCTCTGTTCGAACGATCGATTGACTGCATGGCTAAATGGATGCATATCATAAAGTGGTGGAAGAAAAAGATGAAGAAGTGGAAGATGATGATGAAGAAAAAAGAAGCAGAAGCCTCCGTTGAGAGCTGTGCATCAACTGATATTTACGCGCCTTGTGGATCAGCATGTCGCCGCGCGGCAAAAAAAAGTAGTTAGTGCAGATAGAAGATCAATAGAAAAAGAGGTAGAGACTGATAATACAAAAGAGTACTGTTGCCCTCTCCTGCCCACTTCTCATGCCCAGTTGACCAGTGGCCATCAGCAGTGATACTCTCTTTTTTGCCTCCTCAGTGTGTCAGCCGACTCTTTATGTGTTTGCTATACTTTTCTCTCCTTTTCAGTGATTGATAGACGTGAAATTTGCACTGAACAACACAATCTTCTCTTTGTGGAAGGTGCAATTAATAAGTGAATGTCGATAGATGGATGAATGAATGAATGAGGTGTGCTAACAGCTTGCAGCGTCAAAATTGCTCAATGTCCTCTAATGGTGCTCGGTGCAACTGAGGGGAAAGGGGCTAGACGATGGTCAGCCAATTCTGTCAACTTCGACTGCCCAATAAAAAGACGACTCCACTTTAGTTGATCTTGAACTTTGTCACCAGTTGAGTGTCTAATTTTAGTCTGCTATCTTCCTACTCCTCCGCCACCACTTTTGTTGTGACCATATGTGCGCGTGTGTGCCTCTTCTCCTTCTTTTCGGGAGAATGCGGTTGGAAACATTGTGTCTGTCTGGGCAGTGTTACTGTGTCAGCGGCAGTTGTGCGGTCATTCGATACTGTCCACTTCCTCTTGTGCGCCAGAGAGACTTTAGAGACTTCAGCGGTCGTAACATTTCTCTTTTCCAGTTCTAGCACAAGCACTTTCCACTTTCCACTTTGCCCAGTTCTTTTCACCCATCATCATCTTGTGTTCATTTCTGCAGAAAAAGTGCATTTTCTCTCCATCTCACTCTCTCGATCTCCCTCTCGTTAGCAGAACCTCCACCAGCACAGCACACTCAACTGGTGTGTGTGTGTGTTCATGTGTCATTTCCTGGGACCGAATTCATTCATCTTCTTTCAGCATCAGTAGCCTTCGTTTTGCCAGTCAGTCAGTCAGTGTGTGCTTATTTGCCCACTTGAGGCGGTGGCACTGGTGGCACATTCACAGTAGGCCTCCTCTCCACCACCACCAGCAGCAGCACTCTGTCGTTCATCCGTGCGACAGGCGAGCAGTATATTCTGTTGCCGCCCTGGCCAACGACGACGACAGCCTTGGCACACAGAAACAGTGGAGGCCATGGCAAAGTGTCAACTGAACTAAAGAGAGAGTACTTTGAGGGAAAACTGTGTCGAACTGAAATTGGTTGGTCTGATGAAGCAGCGGCAGTGCATCATCAACCTCAGTGCAGTGCAGTGCAGGGTGTACCCCCAACCAGTGCGAATGTTTTGTCTCTTTCGTTTCAGTCTTTGTCATCTGCTCCTGCTCCGGCAGTATGTGTGCCTGCTGTGATCGAACTGTGCCTTTTTTCGGTTGCATTATATCCGCTGTGCTCTTCTGGCGACCTCTGATCGTTGATCAACTTTTTGGCTGGTGTTTAGTTTCCCACTTTCTTTTTCTCCTTCATTGTCTTCTGATGAGTGAATTCATTAGCAAAGTGTCTGCGCCTGTGTTCGCTCACAGTCTGTTCGAAATGCACTGAACTTTATCTCGGATGAGGTGTGTGTGTGTGCTTGTATGTACTGTTTTGTGCCGTTTATACTTCAACTGTTGATGCAGCTATGCTCAACTGCTGACGGCAACGACGCCAATTGCAAGTCGTCAAGTGTCAACTGTGTTTGCTGTCACTATTTTTCTGTGTGTTGCACTGGTAAGTTGACATTGCCTGCTGACTCCTTTGCTGACTGCTTCTGCTGTCGCTCTGGTGACAATCCACCCTTTTCACCCATTTTTATGCTCTCATCTACTTCCGCTTCTATTTTGGCGCTTTTGAATCAATTTTTAGAAATAGTAATTAGCAATTACTTTATTTGTCAAAATTGAGTTTGTCGACAGTGATTTTACTTGTGTGAAGTGCTCTTCTTTTTAGAATCTCTCTTTGTACTCTTTTTCAATTTACTCTTTGTGTTTCCACTTTTCTTGCTTCTTGAAGAAGGCCGACTAGAAGCTGCCCCCTTTTTTGAGGAGCGGTGCGAAACTGTTGTCCGTTGTGGTGGCTGTGGGTGACCGGATGACTGAGACTGTTGTTCGCAGTTGAAGAAAAGGCTGAAGAGGCACCAGCTGAAAAGGAGTAAAAAGACGGAGTAGAGTACAAAAGCTATGAGGACTACCATGGCCGGGTCCAGTGTCCAGGACCAGGGTCGATTGGTGGTGAGGAAGGCGGTCATTTGCAAGAGTAGAAAGAAGAAGGACATCAGGACGATGTAGAGGACGGTCTGGTGGACGGCCAGTGAGATTCGGTTTGGCAGTGCGTTGAGGTAGTAGATTTTGTAGCGATCCAGGTAGTGCTTCACCAACATGAAGAACAGGCCAACGGGGGCAATGAGGGGACAGGCAACGGCGTAGATGACCACGATGGAGAAGATGAGGAGGTCGCTGGTGAAGTTGCTCACGTAGCTGAAGCTGAAGGGAAGCGTTTTCTCACGGGCTCGGTGGAACTCTGCTTCATTCTTTGGGTAAATGAGGCAGTTGAAGATGTAGTAGCTGAGGTCGCCCAGTCTAAGCAGATCGTAGGTCAGATCAAAGAAGGTGTAGACAAAGATGAGCTTGAGGAAGAAGACCGAGTTTTGAGAGGGAAAGAGGCATTTGTACAGCTGGATCATCTCTGTGGACTTGTCTATGTACCAATTGGTTACTAGAATTTGAATTCTGTGCAAATGTACAAATGTGCTCAATGAATGAGGCAGTAGAAATGATGTTTGTTTTAGCTTACGAAAGCAACCCCGTTGAAGGTGCAATGAATCCGGTGAAGAAGAGCACCATGTAACTGGTCTGCAGTAGCCGGTGGTCTTTCGAGGACTTTGTCATTCGAGGCACAAGTCGCTGGATGTAGATGGACAACTCGGGAACGTACTTGTCGAGTAGACTTGCAATAATCAGACTGATATTGTCCACCAGCAGCCATTGAACCCAGTCCATCTTGCTCTTAGGCGGTTTATCCTTTTCCTCCTTTTCAATTCCAATTTGGATTAGNACTGATATTGTCCACCAGCAGCCATTGAACCCAGTCCATCTTGCTCTTAGGCGGTTTATCCTTTTCCTCCTTTTCAATTCCAATTTGGATTAGTATCAAGTGCAGGTAATTTGTAGCTATCAAGGGAGTGGTGAGACAGAATACGCAGAGGATGAGAAGAATGGTGAGAATGTAGGCGGTAAAGCAGGCCTTGTTTGGGCTCATGATTATGTCACTCCTGTGTGAAATGTTTGGAGTCAAATGAGAAGTTTACGAATATTTTGCCTGCCTTACCAGACAATGTCTTCTGGAACGGGTGCAAAACGAGCATCCCAGTCATTGTAGACATATTTGTCGCCTTCACTAGATCCCCGACCACAGCAGCCACAGCAACAGATGTTTCCTAAAGTCATCAAATCGTGGTGCAGTGTTCGTCGGTTCATTGTGGCTTCAAAGTGTTTTAGAACTCTTGAAAAGAAAAGAAAAAAGATAAAAAAACTGTAAATGACTTAGAAGATTATCAAGCGTTTACCTTTGTGCCATTGAGGCATTTTGGAACTGCACAAAGACAACATGCTCCAGAGTGCTCAGCACTTCATCAGTTTGATGCTTGACAACCTTTTCGTACTTTTCACTCTCTTTGGTGTAGTACTCTAGCGCGTTCACCCAACTGCGACAGCAGAAAATATTCGGATTCACCTGCAGCGGTGTGCCGTTTTCCTCTTCGTAGCATTTCGAATAGCGAACTGCCTCTTTCAACATCTGCAGATGCGCTTGAGTGTTGGCCAGCTCGGCAATGTCGTAGGTGTTGGTGATTCGGGTCACCTTCACCGAGTGAAAGCATCTCTTGAAGTAGCGGTACAGCGTCCTTGCACTGCGCATTATCTCCTCGACGTTGGAAAACATTAAGGTGCGTTCATCGCAAACTGGCTGGTGAATGGGCAGGTGATTCCAGTACAGTCTCATCACCACAACACCCTACAGAGAAAGGTGTATTTAGCTAGAAGAGTTTTTTTGCTAAAAATATGGATACTTACAAGAATTACAAGTAGTACCGTAACCACGGCATGAATCCAGAGCATCTTTGACGAACTGTCCAGTGCATTGATGGTCGTCTTCTCAAAGTTGTCCCCCTCAACGGTGCCGCCGTAGACATTGGCGGGCAGCAGCACCAGCAGACAGATTCCACTCAGCATCGTCAGGTAGTAGATGAGGTACTGCTGACAGAGCAGGTACTGGGCGGCGTCTGCACCTCGATGGCGGCGAATGTCACCGAGGGGAATGCACAGGTAGTCCCACAGCCAGAAACGTCGACGGCCCAGGCTGTCCAACTGCTGCTGGTGCTCTTCCTTTGCCCGTTCCTTGGCCAGATTGGTGAGCACTATGTGGGCCGACTTGTTGGGATCATTGGCGTGAGGCCACAGCTCAGGTGGCAGGTAGGAGTCCTTCTTCTGCCGGTCAATGGTGCACGGACCTGAGAGCATCTCCGCCGAGCGGTCGCCGTAGATGAACTGCACCCAACTATGCAAATGACGACAACTGTTAGGCTCAGTTTGGGTAGTTAAAGTGCACTCACCCGATGTTCCAGTCATTGTAGTATGGTCTACGTTTGAGGTAGTACACTCGAATTGCCGTATAGATGAAAATGAACACCTAGTAAAAACAAAAAGTGTTGAGCATCATAAAGAAGAATAGTGTTAGGCTTACGCTGCCAATGACCATGTTGAAGATGATCGTTTCAATGATGCCCCTCCATCCAAGCAGGTATCTTTGGTTTGCCTTGTCGAGAACGATACACTCGTAGTTTGTCATACTGAGCAGAATGAACAACGTGTGGATGATTAATTGTAGAAAAACTACTGTGCAAATGTAATATCATGACATGACAACGTTTAAACCCTGCTTTCAGTTTTAGAACTCTCAGTTTAGAACCAATTTTTAAAGGAAAAAACTGTCAAGTGACGTATTTATCATTGTTTAGAACTAATGTAAACAAAACTGAAACCGACTGGCAGCTGCATCTCTGGTGACAATCCTCTCTCTCCTCTCATTTTTCATGCTCTCATCCACTTCCGGCAACTGTTTGCGTGAATCAATTTATAGAAATAGCAATTAGCAGCAGCAACCTCAGCCTTAAAGTTTTCAGCGTTAATTTGTACACGCTAATCCTGCCGTTAGGCACTACTGCCTTAGTTACCAGCCCTCTTCAGCTGTTCTCCTTTTTT